CAGCCACCGCAGCGTCAACCTGCTGGGCTTCGGCGATCCTTCCACCTCAGCCTTCCAAGTAGCTGGAAGTACAAGCGTGCTACCACGTTTGGCTATTTTTTGATTTATTGTAGAGATGAGGTCTCCCCAAGTTGGCCAGGCGGGTCTTGAACCCATGGGCTCAGGTAATCCACTCACCTCAACCTCCCAAAGGCGCGGGATTACAGGCTGAGCCACCGAGCCCGGCTATATTCATCTGTTTAACAGAGAAGTAAAGGCAGTGGAGGCAGCTTGAAACATTTGTGCTGTGTACAGGGAGAATGCCATCAGGGGAAAGCACGATAAGAAAATGATTTTGTCATTTCAAAGAAGACCACGTTGACCTGAGTGATTCTCCATGTTTTGGAAGACCATTAGGCTTTGATGAAAACCATTAAAATGTTTTAATCCACAATGATCCACATCAATCAACAAGAGAACTGGAAAATGTAATGAACTGTGGCAAGTCAACAATGGTGTTACATTTGCATTTTTATGGGCAAGCAGAAAAACGCTATGAAGTTATGCATCAGCCAATAAAAAAGGGCAGCTTTAATAGATAACTCTACAAGTCCTTCTCATTTGGAGAGGATGTTTTTCTGTACTAAAAGTTTCCATGTTTTAGGGGGAAAGGCCACACAGTGAGATTTATTCCCAGGAATAACAGTAGCCAGTTGTGGCATAGTTTGAGAAACTAGGGTGTAACTTCTTAGACTGCTGAAACCCTGCACTGCAGTATGTACAGACCTCCCTGATCTGATTGATTATTCTTTGTTCCCTGGCAGCAGGTGTGCACTGGGGCTATGAAGAGACCAAGATACTCCTGGCCATTCTCAGTGGTTCTCAGTTTTATGAAAAACTCCGGACCCATCAGTGGGACAGCCAGATATACAGGACTGTAGCAGAACAACTCCAGGAGCAGGGCTTTCTCCGGACCCCAGAGCAGTGTCACACCAAGCTCAAAAGCCTACAGTTGAGTTACCGCAAAATGAAGAGAAGCCGTATGACTGAGCCTTGTATCTTTTATGAGGAAATGGATGCTCTTTCAAGCTCCTGGACCTCTGCACCTTCTGTGGCAAGCGATGCTGTTCCTGGCCAAGAGGGAAGTAATATTGAGGCTGGAGAGCTGAATCAACAGAATGGGGAGCCCACAGAAGTAGAAGATGGCACTGTGGATGGTGCACACAGGGATGAAAAGGACTTAAGGAATCCTGGCCAAAAAGTCAGGATACTTGACCTGCCAGTGCTGTTCCCTAACAGACTTGGTAAGACTCTCTTGGCTCTGATGGTCAAAGGACAGGAAAGTTCACTTAGAGGATATTAGCTTAGCAATCAAGAAGGACCTGTCACTGCCACTGACTTTGTCTTATCTTGATATGTGACCCTATCCAGGCCAGGAGTGTTGGTTTTCATGGTGTCTAAGGAAAACTGCACTTTAGAGTTCTGATTTTGCATTTGCCAACCTCTTTCACTGAGTCCATATCATCTTTTCCCATGGAGTTCCACTACTTTGCATCCTCAGATTGCTAGTGAGGTCTCCAGACCAGGTTCCATCTTCTCCCTACTTCTCCAGTATGACTACTTCTTCCATAACCTGAACCTGTGCTGGCTGGCAGTCAGCACCTTGCTTTTCCCCTGTTTGAGCTGGCCAAACCCAGGGTGGCCTTTTGTTGTTCTGTTAGAATTAGGCCATTCAAGAATTGAGAGTATGCCTATACAGATTGCTAGATGATGTAGAGCTTGGCCCTTTGTCTCAGTTTGTTGCTTTGTCAGAGCGTACAAAAAGAGGTAGGAGAAAAGTTGGTGGAGTTTAGAGAATAGTTTGTGACTACAGAATTTGGAGCTAAAAAATATTACAGTTAGAAAAAACTTAGGCTTTTAATTTGCAGGAGACTGAATCACATGAAGAATTCCAACTGGTATTTCTTCATAGTATGCAACTCTTTTTTGCATTCAGTTGCTTTCCTTCTCTACAGTTCATTGTATTTCTGGTTTTTTCAGGTTTTGAGATCAGGAATGAGATTAAAAAAGAGAATCCGAAATGGGATGATTCAGAGGAAGTAGAAATGAGCAAGGCTTTACAGAGAAAGTCTAGTGGAAAAATTTTTTGGCACTCTGAGCTAAAAAAAGACTGGGAGAGTGAACCAGTATCAAGAAGACAATGTAGAAGTTCTCCAGAGGAGAGTGAGGAGAAACCCCCATCCCAGGAGAAGACAAGTTACCAGAGACTTTGTACTGGGGACAAAGCCTGTATACATTTCTTCTGTGGGAAAAACTCTCAGAATGTGCCCTCTCCCCACAAGCCACCCCCTGACCTGGAAAAAGCTTCTCAGTGTCCTGAATGTGGAAAAACTTTTAGCCGAGGTTCTTACCTTGTTCGACACCGGAGAATCCACACAGGTGAGAAGCCTCACAAGTGCAGTGAATGTGGGAAAGGCTTTAGTGAGCGCTCAAACCTTACTGCCCACCTACGAACTCACACAGGGGAGAGGCCCTACCAATGTGGACAGTGTGGGAAAAGCTTCAATCAGAGCTCTAGCCTCATTGTCCACCAGAGGACCCACACAGGGGAGAAGCCTTACCAGTGCATTGTCTGTGGAAAAAGATTCAACAACAGTTCCCAATTTAGTGCTCATCGGCGCATACACACTGGAGAGAGCCCATACAAGTGTGCAGAGTGTGGGAAAAGCTTCAACAACAGCTCCCACTTCAGTGCCCATCAGAAAACCCACACTGGGGAAAAGCCTTACAAATGTTCTCAATGTGAGAAAAGCTTTACTAAGAACTCTGCCCTCACCCGCCATCAGGTGGTACACATAAAAGAGATACTGTCAACACAGAAAGGGAGAGATATGAGTGTGTAGGAAATACAACAGATAATTCTTTAGGTCAGCGTGTGTGTTCCTTAGAGCTTCCTTCTGTGTGTGGGGAAATCTAGATAATCCCTGACTTAGCAGTAGACTTACTGACAACTGGATCTTAAGACCCATGTCCAGAAACAGGTATCAGCATAGGGATGCTGACCTCTCCTGGTTCTGCCTGTGACTCCAGATTCCTGTTTTACTGTGACTTAAGGTTTGCTTGGATGGGAAGAAAGCTGAAAGATTCATAAGTTCTGTCAGAAAACCAGGCATCCCTGTTCACAGTGCTGAGAATGGGTTGCCAGTTGTCTGAGAACAGTTTCTAGCCAAAAGTAGCTGTTACACTAGGCTGAAAAATCCTCTTCCTGGGAAGCATATCCAGAAGTTAAGATCCTGGATTTCTTCCAAACCAATAATTGACCTCTACCCACTACTGCTTCAGGGCAGATCACTGCTCTTTGTAACTCAGCCACCACCAAAAAGGGAACAGAAGGAAGGAAGGAAGATTAAGCCAGTGAATAATACTGAATGTTTCCTTAAGTGTCTTAATCTTTGTAAGATTTTTTGTTTTACCATCAGCCCCACCCTAGTTCCTGATTGTCTTTTACAGTAAATGGCTTATAAATATAAACATTACAACTTTTGATGATAGCTTATAAACTATTGTAAACAAGTTTTTAAACACTACTAATTTTTTTTTTTTTTTTTGAGTCGGAGTCTCACTCTGTTGCCCAGACTGGAGTACAGTGGCCGCTCCCGGCCACCGCAGCCTCGACCTGCTGGGCTACGGCGATCCTTCCGCCTCAGCCTTCCAAGTAGCCGGAATTACAGGCGCCCTCGCTCGGCTAATATATATATATATATATATATATATTTAAATTTTATTGTAGAGATGAGGTCTTGCCTGCCCAGGCGGGTCTTGAACCCGCGGGCTCAGACAATCCACTCACCTCAGCCTCCCAAAGGCGTGGGATTACAGGCTGAGCCACCAAGCCCGGCTCTTTTTTTTTTTTAAGTTTTTTTTTTTCCTTGTCAGTTGTGCTTTTGATGGTGGCTGTCTTGAACACTACTATTTCTGATGAAAATAAAGTTGTTTGTCCCTCCACTTCCTTGGCCTTTGTTTGTAATTTTCTCCATAGAAACTTTATACTCATGCAGAAGACTGCAGGGTCCTCAAGATGATTTTTAAAAAAATTTTATTTTCTGAAATGATCTAAGTGTGGAGTCTGCTTGAGGGCAGCAGGACATGAAGAGAAGAAATAAAGGGCAGGAAATGGGGAGAGGAGGAAAATAATTAAGCTGGAAAGGAGCTGAACCATTTTTAGAAGGAAGATCATAGAAGAAAGTAAAAAACGGTACTTCAGGAGGATCTGACTGCAAAGAGAAAAGCAAAAAGGCTAAACAGAATATATTCAAGTGTTTCCTCGGGTTGAGCCCTGCCTGGGGCCACTTATTTTCCCTGCATATACTATCCTTGAGCATAGCCCTAAGTAGAAGCTATGCTGGACAGTTCCTAGAGTCACATACTTTGCAAGTAAAGTCTTGGTTTCTTGCTAGCTCCAATGCTTACCTGCTATCATAGGTTAAGGGAGTTGCAGTGACTACAGTGAAAGAGCTGGATCTTTCCCCCCACCTATAATTTATTATTATTTTTTGAGTTTGAGTCTCACTCTGTTGCCCAGTTTGGACTGCAGTAACATGATCATGGCTCACTGCAGTCTCAACCTTCTGGGCTCAGGATCATTCCATCTCAGCCTCCTGAGTAGCTGGGACTACAGGCATGTGCCACTATGCCCAGCTAATTTTTCTTTCTTTCTTTCTTTGTAGAGATGAGGTTTTGCTCTGTTGTCCAGGCTGGCTTCTAACTCCTGGCCTAGGCAGTCCTCCCTTCTTGGCCTTCCAAAGTATTGGGATTACAGGTGTGAGCCACTGCACTTGGCTGTAATTTCTCTTTTTAAAGGAGAATTGTTAAGTCCCATCTTCAGAGGTTCTTAGTTGGCAGTCTGGGGTAATTGTTTCTAACAAGTTTTCCAAGCACTTCTGTATGTTTATACCTGTTAGAGAACCACCAAATCTTGTCTTAGAGATGGAAGACACTGGGGCTTAAAATCACATGGGGAATCAGTATCAATGAATCAACCTCCAGCTCTCCACAGTCCTAAACTCAGTAATTTCACCAAGAGTTGTTAGGAAGTAGTATGGTGCAGTGGTGAGGGCTTTGGAGGGAGACAATTTTAACTTTTAATTTTTTTACCACCTGTTGCTGTGTGTCAGCCTGATCATACAACCAGTGACAAAAATACTTCTCAGGGTGGTTTAAAGGATTAAATAACTTCATGTGTGCAAAGCACTTACAAATTACCTACTCAGTAAATGCTCCATGTATGCCAACTAGCACTATATATCCTGAGTTCTACCATGCAGGAAAAGAGTCAACTTCAGACTCCCTCCAGGCATTGTTGATGGCTGCATCTGTGACCTAGCACCGGGTAATCTAGTGAGTGAATTAATTTGCTCATTAAATCTACTATGATGAAATTGATGTTTACTTTGCTCAGAAATGCTTATTATGTGTCAGCCACAGAGAGATACAGAGATAAGGGAGATCTGCAAGGGAGAAGAGCTAGATTTTGAACACAGGTCAAATCAATTCCAAAACCTTTGATTACTTCTGTCTCCCTCTTTCAACACTTTTTGGCTAACAATTTGTGAACCTCAGAAGGCAGATCTTGCACTGCATGTTGATACAGGGAGTCCTGCTGTGGCAGGGGCTGGAAGCCTGGCCTTGGGAGGATACGGGTGCAGCTGCTGCTTCATGTCACACCCAGTACCCTCAACTAACTCCCAGCTATGCCATGTTGTTTAGCACTATATTAAGAGCTAGGTGGCGGCCGGGCTCGGTGGTTCAGCCTGTAATCCCGTGCTTTGGGAGGCCGAGGTGAGTGGATTGCATGAGCCCACGGGTTCGAGACCAGCCTGGGCAACTTGGCGAGACCTCATCTCTTCAATAAATCAAAAAATTAGCTGGGCATGGTAGCATACGCCTGTAGTTCCAGCTACTTGGAAGGCTGAGGCGGAAGGATCACTGGAGCCCAGCAGGCCAAGGCTGCGGTGGCCAGGAACAGCCACTGCACTCCAGTCTGGGCAACAGAATGAGACTTCAACTAAAAAAAAAAAAAAAAAAAAAAAAAAAAAAAAGAGCTAGGTGGCATTATTACACAGTATAGATTAGACATGGCTCCACAGATGCCTTTAAAGTCTAAAGGTAGAAAAGGCAAAAAAAGGCTTTTTTTTTTTTTTTTTTTAGTGCAGAGGCACAATCATGGCTCACTGCAGCCTCAAGTTCCTGGGCTCAGGCAATCCTTCCACCTCAGCCTCCCAAGTAGCTGGGACTACAGGCATGTGCCACCTTGCCAGCTAATTTTTTTTTGTTTTTTTTAAGAAATGAGATCTTATGTTTGCCAGGCTGGTCTCAAACTTCTGGGCTGAAGTGAGCCTCCAGCCTTGACCTCCCAAAGAGCTGGGATTATAGGTGCTGGGAATACAGGCATGAGTCACCAAGCCTGGCCATAGGGCCATATAGAGTCTCACTCTGTTGCCCAGGCTGGAGTGCAGTGGCACACTCACAGCCACTGCAGCCTCGGCCCACTGGGCTCAGGCGATCCTTGTGCCTCAGCCTTCAAAGTAGCTGGAACTACAGGCACGCGGCACCATGCCTGGCTAATTTTGTGGTTTACTGTAGAGACAAGGTCTTGCCAAGTTGCCCAGTCTGGTCTCGAACCCCCAGGCTCAGAAAATCCTCTTGCCTCTGCCTCCCAAAATGTTGGGATTACAGGCATGAGCCACCATGCCTGGTCAGACCGACTTTTAAGACGTCTGGGGAAGGCCAGATGCAGTGGCTCAAGCCCGTGATCCCAACAATTTGGGAGGCCAAGATGAGAGGACTGCCTGAGCCCACAGGCTCGACACCAGCCTGGGCAACATGGTGAGACCTTGTCTCTACAATAAATAAAAAAATTAGCCAGGCGTGGAAGCGCACACCTGTAGTTCCGGCTACTTGGAAGGCTGAGGTAGAAGGATCGCCAGAGCCCAGCAGGTCGAGGCTGGGGTGGTCATGAGTGTGCCACTGCAC